TGTAATTGTTGATACGACCATGTATGGTCTTCCGAATTGTACCTTGATATTGCTCGAAGGACCTTTGTTTGCTATAATTGAAATAATGGACAGCGTTCGGTTTTGATGTTTAATGTAGGACGGTTACTGCCCATTCACAATGGACATAAGACATAAGAACGAGCGCATAACATAATTTACGTTTTTGGTTTGTGTCTGGCTTATGCTTATCTACGTTCACAGTGGACAGAGTGAACTCTGTAAGAATTGTTAAACTGCGCAAACGCAGAACGGAATAACTCCCGGCTAAACATAGAAACGACTAACCTCAAACTGAGTCAATCAAAATATCTAACCTACAATTTCATACGATATTCGAACTTGACAACTCGCAGTACAGAACAGACTCGCAGTGTGAAGCTTTGATTATAATTTATATAATATAATCAAATGTGTGAAGTGCCAAGTGCCAACTGTCAAAGGGAATTCAATAGCAGCATTCAAAAGTCCCTAGATTTTAACATAATATTGACATAATTCGTGCACAAAGTTGAACTTATTTCAACTTTGTGTACGCACACAAGGATTACATAAAACGTTCATAAGCATAAGAATTACGTTCGTCCACTGTGAACAGGGGTACACGTTTTCCATCGTTTCAACTTTACGTATTTATGTAAGCTTTATGTACTTGTTATGCCTTATGTCCATTGTGAATGGGCAGTTACAGAAGTACTAAAATTACAGAGCTATTTACAATAACAGGTAGAGATACCCAAAAGGGTCAGTGGCCGCTTCCGGAAATACAACACGTTTAATAATTTTTTTTTATTAATATTTGTTGCTTAAAATTGTTGATAGAGTCTGATATATCTTTTTTACACAGCCGTTATTGTAAAATTGTTTCGTAGTTGTAAAAATTGTTCCTACTGATGGAATTAATTAGACGGTAAGAAATGGAAAATAACACACTTTCATCTGTAGAATACATTTATTATTTGTTGTGACAACTTAAAAAAATTAATGTTACATTTTACAATTTTTTGAAAAATCAAGAAATTTACTCGTACTTACTTTAGATCAAATATTTTGCCAATTTTAAAAATGATCGATACGACTCATTATGGTGGAAAAAATGTGCCTGTAGATCTTGACGTACTGACTTGACAAATACTGTTTGAAAGTAAATGTTCAATGGTACGAATTTTCGAAGAAATGAGGCTGAAAGTCCGTGATTTTACTGGAGAGATAATTTTTAACTATTGGAGGGATTGTTTGAAATTGATTGAATTTTTTTATGTATTTTAGGAACACCGTGTGGATATTAAAAGCGGTTCAAAATTTGTCTGATCAACCCCAGTATGAATCCGCCATTATTTTTTACCATAAGTGGCTACATTTTTGGATAGAAAATCTAAATTTTATAACTATTTTGTACAAATTTTCCAGAAGCTGAATAATATTTGACCTTTTGCCTTTTTTAATTCAATTAATTACAAGATAAATAAAACAGAAATCAGAATCTTGGAATTCAAGCGATGAGTTTCAAGAACTTACAAGAATCTTGAATTTAAAAATAAATAATCGTGTTAAAAATTGTTGCCTTTTTAAATTCAATTATTTAGAAGTAAATTAGAACAGAAATCAGTATCTAGAATTCAAATGAGGAATTTTGATAAATTTGCGGAAATTCTGAAATTTGGAAACTACAAAAAACGTTTTCCCCACTTTTGGGGACAATAACATATTAATAACTACTGGAAATATAAGAACTTGAAAAAATTACGATTTTTAGTATTTTTTAATTAAATTAATTAGAAGTTAAATGAATTAGAAGTTGAAACCTTAAAATTCAAAAAGTAAGTCTGAAAAACTTGCATTTGATGCAAATTTGGAAAATTCAAATGAAGGTAAAAATCTCCTTACTTTTGGGCAAGATAACATAATAATTCTAGAATTATAACTTGAAACGTTTGGCCTTTTTTAACTGAATTAATTAGAAATTAAATGAAACAGAAATTAGGACTTTATAATTCAAGGGAGGAATTTTGAAGAACTTGTAGGAATCTTCAAATTTGGAAAACTGAAGGAAGGGTAAAAATCGATCCACTACTGAAATAATTAAATAATAGTTCCTGAATTATAACATAATAAAGAAGTAACATTAGAAATTTTTGCCTTTTTCAATTCAATTAATTAGAAGATAAATAAAACAGAAATCAGAATCTTGGAATTAAAGCTAGGAATTTCGAGAACTTGCAAGGATCTTGAATTTAAAATAATCATGTTGAAAATTGTTGGCTTTTTTTAATTCAATTATTTAGCAGTAAATTACAACAGAAATCAGCATCTAAAATTCTAATGAGGAATTTTGAAGTATTTGCAGAAATCTTGAAACTTGGAAAGTTCAAAAACCCTTAAAAACTACCCCCTTTTGGGGACAACAACATACTAATTCTGGAAATATAAGAACTTCAAAAAATCACTATTTTTAGCCTTTTTTAATTCAACTGATTAGAAGTTAAATTAATTAGAACTTATAATCTTATAATTGAATGAGTAAGTTTGAAGAACTTGCAGAAATCTTGAATTTAAAAATAATAATTCTTGAATTATAACAAAAAAATTACATTCGATGTTTTCGACCTCTATTAACTAAATCGAAATTAGAATCTTGGAATTCAAGCCAGGAATTTTGAAGTTAAATGAAACAAAAATCAGAATCTTGTAATTCAAGAAGGAATTTTGAAGAAGTTGTAAAAATCTTGAATTTGAAAAGTAATTTTAAAAATGTTTCGCGTCTTTTAATTGAATTAATTAGAAATTAAATGAAATAGAAATTAGCACCTTATAATTCAAGGGAGGAATTTTGAAGAACATGCAGAAATCTTGAAATTTGGAAAATTCAAAAAACGGTAAAAATCTCCTTATTTTTGGGTAAAATAACATAATAATTATAGAATTATAACTTGAAACGTTTGGCCTTTTTGAACTGAATTAATTAGAAATTAAATGAAACAGAAATTAGGACTTTATAACTCAAGGGAGGAATTTTGAAGAACTTGTAGGAATCTTCAAATTTGGAAAACTGAAGGAAGGGTAAAATCGATCCACTATTGAAATAATTAAATAATAGTTCCTGAATTATATAACATAAAGAAGTAACATTAGAAATTTTTACCTTTTTCAATTCAATTAATTAGAAGATAAATGAAACAGAAATCAGAATTTTGGAATTAAAGCCAGGAATTTCAAGAACTTGCAAGGATCTTGAATTTAAAATAATCATGTTGAAAATTGTTGGCTTTTTTTAATTCAATTATTTAGCAGTAAATTACAACAGAAATCAGCATCTAAAATTCTAATGAGGAATTTTGAAGTATTTGCAGAAATCTTGAAACTTGGAAAGTTCAAAAACCGTTAAAAACTACCCCCTTTTGGGGACAACAACATAATAATTCTGGAAATATAAGAACTTCAAAAAATCACTGTTTTCAGCCTTTTTTAATGAAACTGATTAGAAGTTAAATGAATTAGAACTTAGAATCTTAAAATTGAATGAGTAAGTTTGACGAACTTGCAGAAATTTTGAATTTAAAAATAATAATTCTTGAATTATAACAAAAAAATTACATTCGATGTTTTCGACCTCTTTTAACTAAATCGAAATTAGAATCTTGGAATTCAAGCCAGGAATTTTGAAGTTAAATGAAACAAAAATCAGAATCTTGTAATTCAAGAAGGAATTTTGAAGAAGTTGTAAAAATCTTGAATTTGAAAAGTAATTTTAAAAATGTTTCGCGTCTTTTAATTGAATTAATTAGAAATTAAATGAAATAGAAATTAGGACCTTATAATTCAATGGAGGAATTTTGAAGAACTTGTGGGAATCTTGAAATTTGGAAAATTGAAGGAAGGGCAAAAATCGATCCACTATTGAAATAATTAAATATTAGGTAGTTCTTGGATTATTACATAAAGAAGTAACATTAGAAATGTTTGCCTGTTTTAATACAATATATTAGAAGGTAAATGAAGCAGAAATCAGAATCTTGGAATTCAAGCGAGGAATTTTAAAAAGTTGCAAGAATTAAATTAATCATGTTGAAAATTGTTGGCTTCTTTAAATTCAATTATTTAGAAGTAAATTAGAACAGAAATCAGCATCCAGAATTCAAATGATGAATTTTGAACAATTTTCAGAAATCTTGAATTTAAAATTAATAATTCTTGGATTATATAAAAAAAAATTACGTTCGATATTTTTGACCTCTTTTAACTAAATAGAAATCAGAATCTTGCAATTCAAGCCAGGGATTTGCAACAAAGTTTCACATAAAAAATTTACCTTAGAAATGTTTGACGTTTTTTAATTCAACTAAGAAGTTAAATGAAACATAAATCATAATCTTGTAGTTCAAGCAAGGAATTTTGAAGAACTTGAATTTTTAATTTAAAAAATTATTTTGAAAATGTTTCGTTTTTTTTAATTCAATTACTTAGAAGTTAAATAAAAAGAAATGTGAATCTTAGAAATCAAGTGAAGAATTTTGAAGAATTTGTAGAAATTTTGAAATTGTTAAAATCTGCCCACTTTTCAAGTTCGAATTTCGAAATTTCTGTGTTGAAATTAGGAAAATTCAAAAAATGGTCAAAATCATCCCACTTTTGGAAAAAATTAAGCAATAATTCTAAAACTGAAAGAAAAAAATAAAGTTAAATGAAGCAGAAATCAGAATCTTAGAATTCAAACAAGGAATTGAAGAACCTGTATAAACCTTGAAATTGAAAAATTCGAAAAACAGTCAAAATCTCGCCGCTGCGCTGTTGAAAATAATAAAATAATAATTCCGGAATTATTACTTAAAATTTGAAATGTTTGGCCAATACCTATACCATGACGAAAGTTAATAAACACTCATATATTTTATTTAAAATTTTTTTATTGCGATATCTTTCACTTAAAAGTGTCAGTTCTTTGACAGACCATGAGGGTGTTTCTAGAAGCTGAAATAATATGTGTTTGTATTGACCGTGACATAATTTTCTACCCATCTATTTTAATACAGCCACAAAAGAGTAGCTTTTTTTCAGCATCTAAAAAACTTGAATGCAGTGATAATTTAAAAGTATATTTACGTTCTTACTGCTGTAAAAGTATTTAGGGTTAAATCTAATAGTTTTTCGGCTCTAAGGATTATAGGCTGTTGAGACCGTTCCATTAAAGTAACTAGGAGTTTTTGCGCTTCAACAGGATATTCATACCACTGACTTAAATAAATAGCGGTCACAAGAGTGTCACTCTAAAAATAAAACATTACTAGTGGCAATAGTTCAGAAAATGGATGAATTATTTACTTACCTCTTCATATAGCGCATTTCCAAAGTAGCAATAAAACAGTATTTGCCAGTTAACCATAAAAAAGAAGCAAATGTATTTAATCGAATCAACACTGGCAAGAGGCACCTAAAATTTTTTGTTATACGTTGTATTAACAAATATTGTTGCTAAACTTTAATTAACATCCTTACCGTGACAATCGCAACGCATAGGAAGCATATCACGGTCGCCGTTCCCAAAAATTGGTTAAATATAGTCCAGGAAAAACACTCCTCGTACTCCTTAACAAATCTAAAAATTAAAAAAAAATTATGTGAAATTGAACTAAGGAAAAATCGTACTTGAGTATTGCGTTGTGGCGCACAACACACGCGGCTACTTTTTGATAAATATCAGTTTGAAGCAAAGTTTTGACAGACCTGTCTTCTATTAAGTTTCGCGGATTCTGTATTCTATGTTTTAAAATTCTTAAGTGGGTGACAGCTTGAAACACGAGTCCCCCGATTAACGGATCCAGTAAGCAAGTAGCAAAACTAGAATATACCACACCTGAAATTTTTATGATTTGATTTTGTTTGACAGTAGCTCAATCTTACCAATGTATAGATAAAAATATATGATGTAGTAGATCGTTGAACGTGAGGTGAGAGGAAACGGCAGCCAAATTGGCAAAGGTAATTCCGGTCCATCTGACAATAATGCAGGAATTGCATAGAATACTTCCGAACATGAAATACCAACAATATAAAATTTCGACATCATTTGACAAATGAATACACTTTTGTCTAGAATTTTCTTTTCTGTCTCGTCTTGTGGCTGAAATTCGTCTCCATCAAAGTAACCAATGCACTTTTTTATGCGCTCATTTCCGCCCAAAAACGGCAGAACTTTGAAACTGTAGCACATGGTTTCACTTATGTATATAATTTGCATAATATCGTCGTATCCTTTTTTTACTAACATTTGCACCGCCACCAATACGTTACCAACGACGAGAATAAGAAAATATAAACTATAAGCTTGCACTAGATACAACTTGGATTTATTTTCAGTAGGATACCATCGAACAATTTTCAATATTTTTATGATAATGGCAAAACTTTGCTTAGTTGGGTTTTCCATCGTCACTGGAGAATATCGTAATCGGATATCTACCATATTGCTCGGACTTGCGTTTATATCTAATTGAAATAAATTTTTCATCAAAGGAAAAATCGGGCGAGAACTCGAAAGTTGATTTTGTTCACTTTTAAAGAATATTAGGTAATAATTAATGAGCCGCTCAACAAAGAGATTCGTATATTAGTCCGATAGCATAAAACTTTCCAAGAAGCATTTCTAGTTTCATCAAAGTGTGCTTGAAGTGCATATGAACTAAAAGCAAATTAAGTAATTTGTTAGTGAATTAAATTCTAGTAGATTTTTGTAGGAAATATTCGTAAGCTTTTTACACAAATTTTTAATGATTTTTTAAATTACAGAACAAAAACTGCCACCTTTCTTCAGCAATTGATTTGGAGGTCTGAAAAACTGTTATCCAAATATTTATAGTTGTATGTTGAAGTAGTTTTTCTAAAGATCTGTGTTAGATAATTAATTACATAGTAGGTATTTGCTTCTGTAATTTAATAATAAAACTTTGTATTTTTTTGGTTTACTGAACGTGTTTATGAGTTTCTGTTGTTTATTGTTTGATGTGCATTTTTAAAGAATTTTTTAATATGTAACAAAACAGTGCAACAATTTCGCACACTTTAAGTGCTATAAGTTTTCTCTGTGAAGTAAGTTATTTACTAAAATTGAAAGTAAAAAAAATGTACAATATAGGCATCTGCTATGTAGAATTTCGATTGATTTTTCAATTATCTACATTATTTTGTGGTTGAATTATTATGTGCAATGTGTTGATACATACTAATATTTTATATTGTGAGATTGAACCTCAATATATGTAAAAATTAAACTTGATGGCAAATTGCTTTTAATTTTTTTTTAAATGAAACCTACACTTTTTATGTGCATCAGAAAGAACAAGATATGTTTTAATAGTTAAACAGGGCAAACGATTTTAGGACTTTCGACATTAATTATGCTGGTCTTCTCATCCAAGCACTCTTTCTTCACCTAACTTAGTACGTTACAGAGTGCTTATCCCCTCCAAAAAATTGATAACCTCAGCTCAAAAATTTTCCGAATAAATCCTATCTAAAATGTCCAAAATATGATAAGTCTATATTTGTGATTTATCATTCTATTCACATTTTTTGGAATTTCTTATCCAGGGTGACTCAAGAAAATTAATGAATGCGTGAATTTATTGTATTGATTTAATCAGGAACTACAACTTTTGAAATGGTGGAGATGATCTAAAGTTATCATCAGCATGCTAAAATTTTTGGTCAAAATATATTTGCTCATCCCCCTAAAAAATTGATAACGTCACCTCAAAATAATGCCCAACCCGTCAACTATCATTAAATTTAAAGTAAATTTCCAAAAATATTAGAAAGTTTATGTGTGTTGGGAACCAAGTATTCAGATGAAAGGAGTAACACAATCAAGGTCGAACATCATAAAATTGTTTGACCTGTTTAATTGTGTCTCGTGTTCTCATCCGAACATTCGTTTTTGAGCTAACTAGGTAAATGGGATGATGTAATCTCCAAAATTTGCAATTTTATTTTTTTTTTATTTTATAAGGTGTATGAATCCGTATCAAGTTCTCTCTCTAGCACTCAGATTTTTGGAAAAAACATTCAAAATAGTATAACATTTTGCAATTTAAGTTTGAAAATGAAAACCGAATATCCTGAAACGTTTTAAAGTTGTCGTAACCATAGTAAATAGTTAATCAAAATGTATTCGTTTATCCTCTCCCAAAAAATTCTTTTTTGGTACTTTAGAGAGAAGTTTTGTCGAAATAATCTTCGACCACTTTTTTAATTTATTGAAATTTGTACATCACTTATCACTAAGAGTTATTAATGGAAATTTTGGAACGCGATTTTGACCACTGTTTTAGGCTTACAAAACTCTATACTACAATTTTCAAAATCTGAGAAGGTATGTATACAGAGCTCTAAATAATTTCAACATACTTTGAAAATGGTGCACGGAAACGAGTACGTAGCTATACTACCTACTTAGATAAAGAGTGTTTGGATGAGAAGATGAGGCACAATTTTATACATCTCAGAACAATTACTACTCTTCTTTAATAAATTATTTACTAATTTGAACAATACATGCTACTGGGTGTTGTGTTCCTCAGAAAATTAATACATTGTTTAAAGTCGTTCTTAAATTTCTGCGTAATAGCGAAACAACTAATAAATATTAATGTTACCTGAGTTTCAGAAAACATTTTTGTTTGTTCAGTTATTATTTTATCGCAGATCAGTTTCAAAATTGGTTACATTGCTAGAATCAATACTGTTATTACCGCTAAAAATCTAAAACAAAACTAGAAAGAGCTTCGTGACTATAAATATCAGAAAAATTAAAGTATAAAAATTCGAGAAAAAAATCGACTTACAACGAAATTAAATAAGATAAAAACCACATTTTAAGACTAATGGATCCACAGTGATACGAAATTTTTCTATCAACTTCTTCAAAAATTGATAAGTTTTTGATAACTGACAACACCGCCACGAATTCTCCCATATAAAATGCATTACTTACGGGTTTTATACGCTGCCAAGGCAAGGTGGAATGGGGGTTAGTTAAGTTTTTTTTCATTTCTGGTGGACATCATCGAATTATTGACATTATTTGTGTGGTGGTTTTTTCCTTTATTTTGTTTTAACATTTAAATTTATCCTTTATTTCCAACGACTTCAGAATGTGGCTGTGATTGATCGCTCTAAAAGAGAAAAAAAAAACGCGCCGTTTTTCTGCTGATATATTCGTTAGGGTCGAATAATTGATAGCTGGTTACATTAGGGCGAGACGCTATCGAGTTGCGCTGTTGGGGTTGGTCGGGGATATTTCCAGTTCGGTTGCCGACGGAACTGCGTGTGACTGACCTTGCCAATGAAAATATACTCGTTCAACTCTTTATAGTGTTCCCAGTTATAAAAAACCTCTCATAGTGTTCTGGTGTTAGAAAAAATTCGACTGTAAGTACCCATTAAAACTGCTTTCTTGCACCGAAACATTTTCTGTTTAAACAGGTTTAAAAAGTCTAACTGGTTTTGTCTTTTCGACGAGATTTTGTGTCAAGATTGATTACGTCGGTTTTTTCCTGTTGTTATAATTTAAAATTACCCAGCGAGCTCTTCCTGTAAACTTAAAAATGTTTAAAACACTGACTTTAAATTAATTAAAATAAAATTTGTCTTTTGGAAAAGTCAGAAGATTCTGCAAAACTTACTTCTTCTTAATTTCGCTGAAGTAGATTAATACAGCACTGTTCATAGTAAATGTGCCTGATATGTTTCACTCTGTAAGATATAAAAAAATTAAAGCAAGTGAAAAAAATATTTGAGTGTTGTTTCTTATTTTCAGGTTGAAATAATATTTTTGATAGTTAAACAGATAATATATCATGTGATGTTTTGGTCATGATAATTATTAAATTACACAGGTATTCGTAAAGTAAATTTAACACAACACTAGACATTTGTTCGTTGATTATTTTTTAATAAATTAGATGAATTACCTTGATAAAATGGTTATTATATGGACTTCCTTTTTTTATTCCAATTAAAAAAAAACACTTTAGATTTTTCACAATTGAGAGATCTGGCAGCTAGTCAGTTTCGGAGACCACCTCTTCCATTCCATCCTTTTAAAAATTTCAAACAAATATCTCGATTTATTCGAGAATTTTGTCGAAAAAATGTATCCTGTACTATTAAATTATTATTAAAGGTAACTAGTAGTTTTTATTCTGAAAAAAATTATTAAAGCAAAAAATATATAAAAATTTAGATTTTTTGAGCGACGGAAATTCAAAGCGCACATTTATTGCTCTAAATACTTATTTGGTCTACGCATTTAAATACGAACTCTGCCGTTTTAAATTTTCTCTACTTTAACCGCGCACTTGAATGTATATGATACATTTCTTTGAAAACTTTTATACTAGCGTATAATATAGGGACGAATCTCTTTATTGCGCCGCTCAATAATTATTATCCAAGTATTATTCCTTTAAAATGCACCACAATTAATTTGCGTGTTCTCTGTCGATCTGCTCTTTGATTAAAAATTCATTTAACTCAGTTTAATAATTACGCAGGGAGATACGCGATACATCTTGGTATAGGAGAGTTGAATTTTTCAATAATTTTGCAGAGTAGTATGACAGTAAGCTAAGTCGGTTTAACGATGAAAAGCCCAACTAAAGTTTCAACATTAATATAAAAATATTGTGTTTCAGAGACTAAAAGGTTTTTTGTGATTCTTGCTATATGTTTGTGGTTGTGGAAATCTGCATCAGAAAAGGTCATGGGATGCCACAAGTTCTATATTTATGCCAAATACGTAGTACATTTTGATTTGAAATGTTGGTCTCCATAAATTATTGTGGCATATGTTTATCTCAGGTAATTTAGGGTAACAATTAATAATTTCTGTGGAAATACCTTCTACGTATTATTTCTTCCCCTCTACAATGGTAAACAAGGATGGAATTAAAAATATGAATACTTTTGTGTGATTTACTGTCAAGTAGTGTTATTTGAAACACTGTTATTTGACAAGGTTAGTAATTAATATTTTTTGCTTGATAAATTTACCTTTGTTACAAGTTTAGACGTATTTTTGAGAAACATGAGTCGGTAGTACGTAGTCTTTCAAGCCATTTTTACAGTTTTACGCTGTAAGATGTGCTGTTTTTATCTCTTCTTAAAAAAAATAAATTAGTTCCGCCTCTGATAGTTTTATGTCTGGAATTCAGATCAGTGAATTTGATTTTACAAAACATAAGATACCAGTGGTAGTTCGGATTAGTCAATTGTGTGCCAGATAGTTACAATTTTAATGCAAATTAAATTATAATCCCCCTGTAAAACTAGGCATTTTGTTCGATCTCCAACTTTAGATGGTTCAAATCTTATATTGCTGAACATGTGTTTCCCTTCCAGTTAAGAAAGATTATGGTAATTATTAACTCCTAGCTATTGACGTGAGCTCTTACCACCATAGTCTCCAAATCCTCCATTAACGCTGTCAAAGACAAAATCCATGAAGAAAAATAAATCGGAACTTTATCGAACATCAATAAGTGGTAAGGATTCCCTAAATCTCTGGTGGAAACAGAAATTTGTAAAAGAAGAACACCACGAACTTTAATTTTTTTGCCTCTTAAGTTCTGCTTCACATGGTCTATGGAGATCTTTGGCGTCATTTTTACATTGTCACCCAGCATCTGATTCAGTCCATACGCTCTTCCAAAAAAATTCCAAGAAGCTGTTCTCTCAATACTTGCTTTATCATCTAGACCAAACAGCTCTTTGGTGAGAAGATTGTTCCGCATACTTTTTAGAAGATGAGTTGGATCAAAGAGAGGAATAACTTCTTATCAGTTCGTATCACATTCTCTTTTATTCCTTATCATTTTCCAAAGTAGCACATCACTTGTTGCTTCTACTTTACAAAAATTCCTCTGAGTATAAATACATAAACATATGACATGTTCCTAACAAAACAGCTTTTTGAATTTTGACAATTATTGAATCATTCAAATGCAAAGACTTTAAATTCTCAACTAAGCTTTTTGGGACTACACCTACATTAGAGATAACTAAGGGTAGAATTGAAATTTTTTTAAGATTCAACATGGATTTCATTTCTATCGATAATTGTAGATATTTTGAAATCTTGGTGTGGTATGTTTGAATAATGTTGTTTGTGTTAGGAATAGCAATGTCAATGAGAATGGCTTTGTTCGTGTGTTTTTTGATAAGTATGATGTCTGGTCTGTTAGCTGTATTGTTTAAGTCTGTAAGTATTGTGCGATCCCAGTATAATTCGTATTTGTTATTTTCAAGGAACGGAGACGGAATGTAAGTGTAATAGTGTGCTGTATCTTCGATTAAGTTCATATATATGTATATAAATTAGCACTCCAGGCGAAGTTGGCCCATGGCTTGGTTCATTGCTTCTCGCCATTCCTTCCTGTTCTTAAGTTTCTCCCTCCAGCTTGCAATATTCGCCTCTGCTATGTCCTTTAGGACACCTTCTTTCCACCGTGTTCTTGGTCGTCCTTGTCGACGTTTCCCTCCTATACCACTTTCCAAAATTTTCTTGGGTACTCTTTCTTCCTTCATCATCATAACGTGTCCGAACCATCTTTTGTCCTTTTACAATTGCCATTATGTTCGGTTCATGATATAACTCTGCCAACTCATTGTTTGTTCTTATTTCCCATCTATCTTCTGTTTTTTTTCCTCCATATATTTTCCTTCGTACTTTTCTTTCCCATATCTTCAACATCTTTTGTGTATTTATTCCTAGTGTCTATGTCTCACTTGCGAAAATTACAATGGGACGAATAATTGTCTTGTAGACCCTTAATTTCAGACCTCTTGAAGAATTTCTGTTCATAATGCTCCTAAATGAGTAAATACTACGATTTCCGGCCACTATTCTGCTTTGGATTTCTCTTGTCATGTCTGGTTTCCTATAAAATTCTGTGCCCAAATAAGTAAATGTTTCCACCTCCTTGAAGCGATACGTTTTTCCTGTATTTGTATTTACTTTTAATTCTCTTAGACTATCGTACTCTTTCTCAGTCCATGTCATTAGTTTTGTTTTATCTTCATTAATCTGCAGTCCCATTTTCTGCGCTTCTTCTTCCAGGTTTACCATAGCTTTATGTAGTGCTGTCCTACTTCTTGTTAAAATTGCTACATCATCAGCAAAAGCTAGACACTGATGACTTTTGTGATATAGCAACCAAGATCTATTCAAATTGGCTTTTCTAACCACGTATTCCAACGCACAATGAAATAGAATTGGCGAGAGGGGGCCCCTTGCCGTAATCCTTCTTTCACTTTAAATTTTTTTGACAATTTTCCTTTGATTCTTACTCTATTGTCCGTGTCTTTTAAGGTGAGTTTTATCATCTTTATTGGCTTGTTTTCCAAACCTAGTTCTCTTAGAGCTTCATATAACTTTTGGCGCTTGATTCTATCATATGCTTGTTTGAAATCTACGAATAACACAAAAGTGTCTTTTTTATACTCAAAACTTTCTGCTTGTATCTCACGTAGCCTAAATATCTGGTCCACTACCGACCTGTTCGCTCTGAAGCCACCTTGGTACTCCCCAATTTCCTTCTCTACTTTCTTTATTACTTGATCTTTTATATACGAGGCAAGAATTTTATAGACTACATTCAGAAGTGCTATTCCTCTATAGTTGGAGCATTTCATCTTATCCCCCTTTTTATGTACTGGAATGAGAATAGCTTCGTTCCAATCTTGTGGCATGTGTTCTTGCAGCCAAATTTGTTCTAAAAGTTTCTGTATCTTTTCTTCTAGCTTCTCTCCCCCATATTTTAGTAATTCCGCCGTTATTTGATCTTCTCCCGGACTTTTGTTATATTTTAATTTCTATATTATTTCCTTTACTTCTCTCAGACTTGGTGCTTTCTCTTCTTCTTCACCATGTATAACTTCGTTGTTTAAATTTTCTTCTATCATTCCTTCATTTTCTTCCTCATTTAGGAGTTTGTCGAAGTACCTCTGCCAGAGTTCTAAAATTTTTTCTTCATTTCGTACCAGTTCACCTTTTTCGTTTTTATAGAACACCGGACTTGATTGGTATCCTTTTTTTTCTTGTTTTAATCCTTGGTACATACTTCTTATCTCTTTATTTTTGTAGTTTTCTTCTATCTCGTCTAATAGTCTTTCTTTATATTTCCTTCTCTTTTCGCGTAAGAGCCTTTTACATATTTTTCGCTGTTCTTTGTATGCCATTAAATTTTCTTCTGTTTCATTTTTTAATACCTTCAATCTTAAAGTTGTCTTTTTTTCTAATTCTTCTTCACATTCCTTATCAAACCATCTTTCGTTTTTATTTTCCTTACCTGTTTCTTGAGTGCTTTGTGAAGACGCTTTTTTTATTTCATTTTTAACTTCTAACCACAAATCTTCTATATCTTCTGTATCTTGCCTTTCACCTGCTACCCAATCATTCACCATTTCCAAATACATCTTCCTCTCCTCCTCATTTTTCAATCTAACACACGTTTTTAAGTTTTTGCGTTCTTGGTTCTTCCTGTGTTTTGCAAAGGGTACTATTTGCTTCATTTTTACACCTACTAAAAAATGGTCTGTGTCCAGATCTGGTCCTCTATAACTTCTTACATCGGTTATATTTCTTTCTTCCATTCTTTCAATTAGGACATGGTCAATTTGATTTACAGTTTTTCCATCTGGTGCAATCCAGGTTCCTTTGTGTATTTCTTTTTTTGGAAGTAGGTATGTACTTTTTATGATCATATCTTTCTCTCTAGCAAAGTCTATTAACATCTGACCATTGTTGTTTGTAACTTCATGTTTGCTATATTTTCCAATCGTTGGTCTGAACAATTTTTCTTGACCAATTTTTGCATTTAGATCTCCTAATACAATCTTCAAATCATATTTTTTTATTTTTCCATATTCCTTATTAAACATATCAAGCAGTGTTTCATGAGGGTAACCTCTTTTAGGATAATGACCAAAGCTCAAGAAAAGCAAAAATTTCAGAAATCGTCTCTGGATCTTTTCCAGAGCCATCGTATGGATGTTATAGCCAGGCGACCATATTATGCTTGCAAATTCTAACTTTGATCGAACAAGTGAAAAATATAGAGGCTTGATTGTTTCAGTGTCCTGAAATTTTCTACAGTTCCGTATAATAAACCCCAGATTTTTTAGTGCACTTGACATTATTTGCTCACAGTGGTAAATAAACGTCATTTTAACGTTGAATGTTACTCCAAGATCTCTAATACCATTTTTTCTGCAAATCTGGACATTATCAATACCATAGTCGAAAATTAAAACTTTTGATTTTAGTGAAAAAGTAACTACATTACATTTAGCAGAGTTAATTGAGAGGCCACATTGTTTACTTCTGTTACAAACTAACTGTAGATCGGCTTGCAATTTTAACTGATCTCTCCTGCTAGTAATTTTTCTAAATTATTTCATGTCGTCCGCATACAATAACGCCGGTGAAGTTAAATTATCTGTAATATTAATTACAAAAAGACTGAAGAATAGAGGTCCAAGAACAGATCCTTGTGGTACACCGAACGTAACGTTAATTTCTACTGACTCATAACCACCACACATTACACGTTGTTTTCTTCCCGTTAGATAATTAGCACAAAATATTATTAGGTCGTCAGAAAAACCAAAAGAGCTTAATTTGGCAAGTAATTTGTAGTGGTCCAGTCTGTCCAACGCCTTGGAGAAATCTATGTAAATAGTGTCCACTTCGTTTCCTGCGTCAATATTTTCTGTCACGAATTGTGTGAACATACATAAGTTAGTTCCAACGGAACGGCCTTTGACAAAACCATGCTGAAGTGGAGAAATATAGAAATTAACATGGTTCATAATGATTAATGACTGTGTGCAACAAGATCTCAAAAACTTTAGAAAAATTATTAAGTAAAATAATTGGTCGATAGTTCTCAATATGCTTTCTGTCACCTTTCTTAAAAATTGGACATATAATGGAGTCTTTCCAGAGATTAAGGTATTTACGAACTGTAAGTGATAAATTGAATATTTGAAACAGAGGATGGGCAAAAATACTTGCGCAATCACGCAAGATAAAAGCGGAGATTCGATCTGGACCTGAAGTGACTTTATTTTTAATTTTACGTAATGCTTTATAAACTTCGTCTTCGCTAAAGTGATTTATATTAAGAATATTAGGGGTAATAATTTGTGACTGTGTTTTCATATTATTAAAATCAAATTCAATATATGATTCCTGAAAGAAAGATGCCAACGTGTTCACAATAGGTTTAGGACCCAATAGTTCTGTATTTTGATATGTCATAATTTTTGGAAAATAGTTCTCTTGCCTTATACTCTGTATAAACGACCAGAAATGAGATGGATCAGTTTTTATTTTATTTTCGATGTTATGTATATAGTCTCTATGAGATTTACAGATGTCATTTTTTATTTGAAGCCTTAAGGTTTTGAATTCATTGTAAGCATTTTGATCTCTGTGATGCTTATACTTTTTCCACAACTTAAACTTTTTTTATGTTACTAATAATTGTATGACTATACCATGGAGGAAATTTCTTTTGTTTAAATCGATTAGTTAAAGGTAGGTACTGAAACTTGGAAAATACTATTCAGTTTGGTGTAGAATTTCCCACATGCAATGTCAACATCCCGACAGTTTTCTAAAAAAGACCAGTTAATTTTGGATAAATCGTTATATAGAATTGTTTTGAATTCAGAATTTCTTATACATTTTGTTTATTATTAGAAGACTTTTGTTTAATAGGAATTGTGATTTCTAAGCTGGGATGGTGTATGATTTCTAAGCTGGGATGGTAAAACTGAAATATCGGAAAATTGAGAAATCGAAAAATGAAAAATTCGAGAAACCGAAAATATGAAGAATCGAGAAATGGAAGAATGGATAAATTGAAAAATCCCAATAGTAATATGTCGAAAAATTGAGAAATCGAAATCGAGCAAAACTGAAGTAGGATCGTAAAGTTAATAAATTGAAAAACTGAAAATTTTTGAAAAAAATCGTATCAAAAACTAAAAATTCAAAAAATCGAGAAATTGAACAATCAAAAAATCAAAACATTGAAATCCCAGTAAGTTGATAAATAGGAAAATTTAAAAAACTAAAATTTTAAAAATCCAAGAATTGAACAACAAAAAAAATCTAAGTCTGAAAACTCAGAAAATCGAAAGATCGAGAACTCAAAACATCAAAGAAAACAAAAATTGTAAAATTTAAAAATTCGACAAACTGAAAAATCATGGAACTGAAAAATCGAAAAGTCGAGATAGTGAGAAATCTAAAAACCTAAAACTTTAAAAACTGAAAAATTAAAATATCGAAAAACTTAAAAACCGAGAAAACACAATATCAAAAATTTGAAAAATTGAAGAAACGAAATATTGCAAAATTCCAAAGCTGAAATATTGAAAAACCTAAAAATGGAAGAAAAATTACAGAATCGAAACAGTGAAAAAATCCCAAACTGAAACATTGAAAAATTGAGAAATGAAAAAATGGGAAAATCAAAAAAATTGGTCTAAAGAGTTTAGACAGTACTTCCCTCGCTCTCGGAAACGTGACGACTGCATGCCTATTATGTTTTTTTTCACATTAGATTTCAAGGCATTCGGTTTTGTAGTTTCTGATTAAATCAATAAAATAAATTTGCGCATTCATTAAATTTTTTGAGTCATCCTATATATCCGAATCCAAAAAATATGAATGGAATGATAAATTACAAGAAGAGACTCATCTTATTTTGTACATTTTAAATAGGATTATACGGCAAACTTTTGAGCTGACGTCATCAATTTTTTGGAGAAGATAACCAAATATATTTTGACTAAAAATTTATTATGCTCTTTATAACCCTAAAACATTTGCAAGATTTCAAAGCATTGGGTTCTGTAGTTCCTGATTAACTCAATAAAATAAATTTACGCATTTATTAAATTTTTTGAGTCACCCTATATATCCGAATCCAAAAAATATGAATGGGATGATAAATTACAAGAAGAGACTCATCATATTTTGTCCATTTTAGGTAGAATTTATTCAGCAAAATTTTTTAGATGACGTCATCAATTTTTTAGAGGGGATAAGTAAATATATTGTGATTAAAACTGCCCTGGTTTAATAACAAAAAAATATTGTTCGTCTATGAAACAAGCTCGTCTTAGACAAAGTATTCGTAAAAAAATATGTCGTAAAAAAATGTACGTATGCTGGTCCCGACTGCGATTATGGTTTAAATATTTTTTAGAAGATTCTGTCATGGAAGTGGAAACATTTGTGACAGCCAAAGAGGTTTTTTGAGAATATTATCTTTGAATTTAGACCAAATTGAAATAGACACTAGGCAACAGGGACATTTGGGCAAAAGAAAGAGAAATTAGGGTTACGGCTTCAAATTTTTGACGTATTTACAAACTTAGACCGACTACAGCAATAGCTAAAACTGTGGAGTCTCTGTTGTACAGTACGTTTAGAGGTAATAGTCATACATAATATGGACAGCAAAGTGAGGAAAAAACTGTCAAGTATTTTGAAATAGATAAAAATATAAAAACTGAACGGTGTGGCTTGATTATTTCAAAACAATTTCCTGACTTGGCTGCTAGTCCAGACAGGGTTCTAGAGGATAGGAGGACAGACAAAGAATTGAAACTAAAAAAAATCATGATTACTACTTTCAAGTCCAGGGACAAATGCTTGTTACGGGTATTTCACAAGTTTATTTTGTTGTGTGGACACCCAAAGGAATAAATACACAAAAAAATTATAAAGACGAAGAAACATGTAAAAAGATGGCAGATAAACTTGGCAGATTTTACTTTGGCGCATTATTGCCCGAAATAATTGATTCAAGAAGAAAGAGGAACTCGCCTTTGCGAGATAATTTTTTTAAATAAATAAAATTTGTTTGTATTTTTTTATGTACTTTAATAATTTATTAGGAGTACATTTTTCATCACCAAGACTTGCATATTTTTATTATAAATATATTTTGAAAATGATCTCTCGGCAAATGAAAACATATACGAGCACTTTTTTCGAGTAAACAATGAAGGGAGAAGTTACTGGGCGTAGGGCTTTTTTAAAACACCTCCTTTCTGGGATAAGTAGTAGATACACTTAGCTACTTATACGTGTTAAACAAAAGCTGCATTTTATATATTTTTTATTATTATTATAAATATGTTTATTAGTTTTATTAATTAACAAAGTAATATATATTAACAATAATATTACAATGAATTTTTAGTAATCATGTGTATTGAATTCAGGATCCTGAGTGGAGTAAAAATATTATAGTTCCCCAGTTTTAATTCGGTTTTATGATAGTACCTCATTGCGTAAAAGTTAATTTCCTTAACAATAGATTACTACGGCTGGTCCTGGCGGCTTCTTATAAAACTGAGTTCCTTGCCATAAATTAGAAAAATCAGCCGAGAATGCTAACAATCAGCTTATGGTAGAGCAGGCGATAAGGGTTTTACCTAGAAAGTCGCTTCCGTAAATTTTAGTGGCGCTCCTATCGGCAAAGTACTGAACTAACTGCTCAAATTCTGTCGAATTGGTACCCATTTTTTTCAATAATTGTTAGTTTTTATTGAAAATTCTGCCAGATCATTAATTTTCCTCTGATATTCCTGTTAAAATTATTCGACGCATTTTGCATTAATTTGTGATATATTTTGATTTTAATAAACACATTATTATTTAAACAAATTGTACCACTAACAAACATTTAATGACTTTGCGGCCTGTAAAAAGTGATGTTTTATCCATGTGCGCATTTTCAAGCGATTGTATGATGGTTATGACTCAAAAAACTTGAAAAGAAAACATACAATGGTGCTTTTTTACGATATTTCTCAGCCACATTTTTTTAATTGATTGAACTGATCTCTGCGCTCTAGAATATGAAAAAAGCTGCAGTTTGATGTATGATACATCTATATTAACATCATTTTTTCATACAAAAAACCAAAAAAATATTATACCTCGTCTAGCGAGTCCCCTTAATTCCTGCAGCCAGTAGTCGTATTACCCGTTCTTCAGTGACGTTCAGAATTTTTGTGTCTAGTACCAGCATCACCTTATCTTAAGAATGATGAAGACAGCAAATCATCTGAGGAAATATGTATAATTTCGTATTATTCAACAGTGGTAAACACAAGTTTAAACGTGGACAAAGGGACTATTTCAGACACAATCTTTAATTAAGAATTTTATTTTTTTTTAATTTATGTCTTTTTAGTTTAAGCGTTATAAATAGTGTCTTATGAATATATATATTTTCTATCTGTTCTCATTTCTATTGCTAGTTTTTCTTGTCGTTATTTGTTATTTTAGATTAATTAATCAAGTAGTTTAATTAAGTTTGTATCCTTGTATATTTATTTTGTGTTCCATTATTGTAATTGGAGTTAACCGTCAATAAAATAAAAACAATAGCAATTTATGTAAATATTATTAACTTTTACGTAAGTAGTAACAAATAAATATGTAAACTAAGAAAAAGACGTGGGTTTTGCGTCTGTCACTCTTACTTCTAACAAATCATAATGAACCATTAGGTGTCACTTGTGTTGATCTCATTGATGTACACCGTGGAGAGGAAACGTCGTCGTCCCTGCATTCACCCGCCGTAATTACCCAATCTGCATGATGATAAAAGTAGCACTAAAGTAGCAGAGAGCGTAAGCTGTATACTCCAGTGTAAGTTTAACGGTAAAGAAATGTACAAATTCCTGATTGTTGTCATTATGATCTTGGTTAAAAATACTTATACAGAGAGCATTGTTGGTGAGTTGATTTCTTCTTTCTCTACCTCTATTTTGAAAATAAAGTAATATGTGTATAACAATTTTTGTTTTCTCAGTTTGGAAAAAAAAATTATGTTAAATACCGGAGACCATGAAAGAAATTTTGTACCTAGTTATATTTTTCTAAAATGCTTGTATAATATTTGTATTAATTTTGGTGTCGTTAAACTAGGTACGTCATTTGTCCCCCTTTGAACTCATTTCAACGTCTTTATTTTTTTATAGGACCGCCTTGCATCGTTAAATCATGTAACTCTACAGGTAGGTGTCTAGTGCCACACATTTGCAGGATGTTTGAAGAAGTACCAGGGCCTTGGAAAAAACTATCGAAATACACTTATTGTAACGAAAAAGTTAGGGAAATATCCCTTATTTGTTGCCCAGAAATTTATCAACCAGGTTACATAACTGAAAACAGTACGTAAAAGTGAACTTCGTGCGCATCGAAAATAAAACCATAATCAAATTACGTTTAAGAATGTAGAGAATATACTTCGCTCGCAGAAGAGAAACACTTATGTCGTCGCAATGTTGGGCCGACTGGCACAACAGACTTCCCGCATATAGCGCTATTAGGATATCCCGGCCGAGAATATGGGCATGAAACTGAGTGGTTTTGTATGGGAGCACTTATCAGTGAACAATATGTTTTAACAGAAGCACATTGTGTATCGCGCCGCTGTGAATATAATGTGTAAGTTTTGAAATAATAATTTAGTTGGTCAAAAAATTTTTTCAATGAACAAACAACGAAATGTTGCTTTTCGGCATGTTACTTATCTCAAATTATGCCAATCAATAAATTTGACGTCTGTTATTGTATGTGCATTATAATTTAGAGATAATTTTGAATTGGGTGGATATACGAGTAATTTTCTTCACTTTGTTCCCTGTGTAATATAATTAATGCTTTTTTTTTCTTTTCTACATTCTTTTCAAAGTTGATACTCAGTTTTATTGCACTATCACACTCGGCTAGTATTTGAACTAATTAATTTTTAAGTATCTCTCTGTTTTAGGAATGAACCAACGGTAGTGTTGTTAGGGGTCACGAATGTTGATGATACGAACCACAGACAAGAAATAAAAGTTTCAAAGACAATATTACATCAAGATTCCTCTTACCAAAAGGAGATAGCACTAGTAAAATTAGAAAGACCAATAGAAATGAGTTCGTATGTGCGTCCGGCATGCCTAAAGGCATATGTTGACCCTCCTGTTACAGAAGTTTTTGTTACCGAATGGCATCTTCGGCATGGAGGCATCAATAAAGATTTGATCAAAGTATCAGTAGATATTTCAGAAAAGCCCTGCAATAATGGTCCAACAAGTGATATATATGCACATGATTTCCATATTTGCACAAATTCATATCGATATCTAAAGGTTAGTTAAAGAATCTTTCTCATCTACAGTTATCTATAGGGTCAACACAAAATAGAAATCAGAATTGTTTATTTCTTTTTAACAAATTATGCAGCAATCTAATTCAGTGTTTTTAAAATTTAATTGCGAATACTCTTTTGAATCCTTCTTATCTTTAGGAATTTTTAGAATGCGAGTCTTGATCTTGTTGGTGGTCCAATGTATATATATCACAATAATGACGTTACCTCGTGTATGTACGACATAGTTGGTGTGACTTCGGAAAGAGGACAGGATGATCAACCAGACCTAAACAGACGAGTTAGTTACTGGTTCATTAAGTGGATTGAAGATGAAGTTTGGCCTGAGGAAAGTCAACTAAACAACTTATTGACATGAGGGCTTGTAACAGAATCCTCACTCTATTTGCAAATAACTAACAAATAAAACTGTTCCCATTTATTCCTACTTTTATCGTCTCCTTTCTCAAAGTAGATTATTTACATATTTTTTTTCTGATTGATACAATATTGAATAATATTGCCTTAGTTACAATATGTCATAACACACTAATATTTCCCAAGGGAAATATGAAATGATCATATTGTCCCAAGGGAAATATGAATTGTCATATTTCACTACAAATTTTTTTTATTTTTTAATTGATTTATATTCACCAATTCGTTCGTTCTGCAGGCGCCAAAGATTTCCATAATTAAAACGACCTTCAAAATTATGGATGTAACAATCTATTTAATAGAGGAGAATCACAATGAAATTTTTACCTTATACATCAAAAAAATGTCATTAGGAGCTTCTCGCAAGAATTTTTTGAGCTGTTGTCGAGACAACACCTCTGATTTTTTAGGAATGTATCCTTTATTTTTATTCTTCACAAATGCTTCTACTTCATCGAACAGTTTAACATCAGTTTTTTCCCTTAAATGTAACATTGACCTTAGCATCGATAATTTTGGCCACAACGTATTTGGTGAATATTTGTGCGACTACGGATAGAATAAATTAGTCATACGTCAAAAATAACAAAAATCAGCAAAATACCAAATCTTCAAAAAATGCAAGCAAAATATTTTCGTCGACACCATTCACCGAATTTTCTCTTCTCCATTCTTGAAAGTCTTCATACACTTTACTGTAAGCAGCTTGTGATAGCACGTAGTTCGACATTTCATCAATTTTATTTATGACAGGACGCGACAATCAAAGCAGCCAACCATGATATTTACAAACACCCTTAGCAACGTTACCAATCCGATTAATTCAAAAATTTAGAATCCAATATTTTTTGCAACAATATTGTATCAATCAGAAAAAAACTATTGATTACAACACGGGAAATATGAATTATGTCCCTTGGTTGTCTATACATCCCTCGGGTTGCACCCTCGGGATGTAACTAGCCAACCTCGGGAAATATAGTATTCATATTTCCCTAGTTGTAATAATAGCTATTATTGTGCTAGGGTGTTAAACGTTCATTGTATTTCAAGTCAGACAATGTTTTCTTTGGGTTTCTTTATTGAACAAAAAGGCGCCTGCCAAACAAAAAAAAACAAATGTAATGATTTACAACTTAAAACGATTTACACGTTAAGAAGAAACATCCCTGACGATTCACATACTAATATTAAAATGACGGACCCTCACAGACTTTGCTTTCAATACCTTCAATAAATATCAAGACTACACCGCCATTTTGATTACTCATTTCTGTCTGGTTCTCTCACTCACCTACAACATACTAACCACTAGATGCATAAAATAATTAATTTCAACACTCCTTAATTATTTTAGAACAAAATGATTCAAACAATTTTTTTGGGAGAGATTTTGTAAATATATCAGCAAGTTGGTTACCACTGTCAACATGTTTGAATGTGACCGTCTTGTCAACATGTTCTTGAATGAACCTCCGTGGGATTTCTATATGCTTCTTTTCTTTTGTAGTTTTACCTTCATGAGCGTTGTACATCATATGAATTGCCGCTTGATTATCGATAAGTAATTCGATGGGTTTATCTTCCTTTACAATTTCAAGTTCCAGACAAATTCTTTTGATCCAACAAACATCGTCGATTGCAGACACGGCTGCTCGGTACTCTGCTTCAGCAGTGGATGTTGCTACCAAACGTTGTTTCTGTGTGTACCAAACGATTAGTCCTCCTCTCATCACAAGTACTCCCGTAGTTGAATGTTTAGTCTCAGGATCTCCACCATAGTCGGAATCCGAGTAAGCAACGAGTGTGTCGCTTCCGTCAAAGAAGATACCATGATTTGGTGTTCCTTTGAGATATTGAAAAATCCTTTTTACCATTCGCCAGTGACTCATCATTGCCTTTCCGTTAAAGCGACTTAGAAAGTTAACAGCAAAACTTATATCCGGTCGAGAAATTATGGCCAGGTACAACAGGCTTCCAATCGCTTCTCTGTATGGGATAGATGGCGGTATGGGTTGACTGTTCATCTTGTCCTCTTCTCCTGTTACCATGCTTTTCTCAATGGAAGTTGACTTTGCATTGCACGTATCGAATTTAAAGCGTCGAATAATCTTCTTTGTATACTTTGGTTGACCTACAAAGATGCCTTCTTTGTCAATGTGAATTTCCATTCCGAGGTATGCGACCTTGTTTTGAACTTGACGGCTGTATGTGATTTCGAATTTTGAGTTGATGATGTCGAGTATCTTGTAGATTTCCTTTTCATCATAGCCAGCGATAAGTCCGTCGTCGACGAACAAAGTTATTAGGATAGTCTTATCCTTATTATAAAACAAACAGGGATCATCATCGGTGTTCATTAATCCTATTTTCTTCTCAAAGAATTTTGAAATCGTATCATGCCAGTTCCTCGGAGCCTGTTTCAGTCCATATAATCCTTTCTGTAATTGGCAGACATAGTTGGTGCCATCTTCAAATCCTTTCGGTTGATGCATGTAAATTTCCTCCTCCAGGTTACCATATAGGAAAGCTGTCTTGACATCAAAGGGAACAAGTTTTATCTTCTGGGTAGCTGCATGACTCAGCATAAGACGAATTGAAGTATGACAAGCTACTGGACTGAACGTTTCCGTATAATCAATCCCTTCTTCTTGTTCAAAACCGCGTGCTACTAAACGTGCTTTCACTCTTCCATCTGCCTTCTCACGTAACACCCATCTGCATGTCAACGGTTGAACTCCTTCGGGGCATTTCACAAGTCTCCAAGTTTTCATTTGTGTCAAAGAATTAAGTTCTTCTTGCATTGCACGTTTCCATCTATCATTCTTCAGTTCCTCATTGACAGTGATATCCTGGATTTCTCCTATCAAAGCTACATTTGCACTTCTGTTCGGTGTGAGATCGTCGAGTACATAATCTTTCAGTCGGTGTGGCATTGTTATCGCTGATCGATCACGAAGTCCTCGTCTTGTCTGAGGTGTTGTCTCTTCATCTTCATCTTCAGTAATTTCGCCTTCAAGATTTTTTTGTTCTTGATCTTCATCCTTCAGACTTGTATCAGACTCGCATTCTTCATCTTCATGACCTAGATCAGTCTTTTCAGATATTATTGGCACACTTCCTATAATGTCTCGGTATCTCGTTTTCTCTTCATCAAATATCACATTGTCAGAGCAAATGACTTCTCTTTCTCCAGGTATGTCTATTCGATAGCTTGATGACTCGGTGTCATATCCAACAAAGATTTCCTTCCTAGACTTCTTGTCGAGTTTCTTCCTTCTATGATCAGTTTTCAGAACGTAGCAATCACATCCGAAACTCCTCAGTTTGTTGATATGAAAATGACTGAGCTGGTGCCAGTCTGACTCAAGGTGAACACAACGTAGTTGACAGCTTCTGCCCATAGATTTTCTTTCAAATTTGGCGCATGTATGACCGACCTCGCAGATTCCACCACGGTTCGCATTTCCCTTTCAACTCTGCCATTCTGTTGTGGTGTGTGAACGTTTGAGAACGTATGCCTGATTCCTCGCTCCTCCAAAAGTTGACATGTGGTTTTGTTCTTTATTTCAGTTCCATGATCCGACCTCAGTTCTTTCACCTTCCTTCCAAATTGGTTTTCAACTTGTGTCAGAAATATCTTCAGCTTGTCTGGAGCTTCATCTTTGGACTTCAGATAGTAAACGGTCCGAAAGTGCGAATAAATCATCTTTAAAGATCAGGAAATACTTCGCTCCTCCGATCGACATGACATTCATTTCCCCAAGATCTACATGAACTAGATCCAATGATTGAGCTGCTACCTTCTCATTTTTGGGATGTGAAATTCGATGTTGTTTCCCATAAATGCATGCTTCACAGACTCGATTGTTCCAGTCATCTATGCACTTGATGTTATTCCTGTCTAGGATGTCCTTGACGTATTTCAGGTTCTGATGTGCAAGTCTCTCATGCCAGGTGACAATTGAAGTTGCAATTAGGCTGGTGTTCATACTGGGTAGTCGGAGCATCACTCCATACAAATTTCCTTCTTGTTGAGCCATGGTAAGAACAGTTTGGTTGTCACTTGACTTGATAATTGATGATACATCTTTGTTGCACGTCTCAATGTGTCCTCTGTCCATCACTTGACTGAGTGAAATCAAGTTAAAGTTCAAACCTGGTACATAGAGCACATCTTCCAGAATGACTAGTCTACAGTTGTTACCATTGTAGGCTTCAAGTTCTATGTCTCCAACCGCTGAGGCGTTGAGTTGATTTGAGTCTCCCATAATGACTGTTACAGGTTGCTTCAGTTGTCTCAGCTTTTGTTAGAAGTCATATGTTGTGTGGCTTGGTACCAGTTAGCATTGACATCTTCTACTCGTTGTTGTTTTGGGAGCTCAGTACTCGACAAACCGACGACTACATAAAGTTTGTTCGAACGACCTCCGAATCTTCTCTCATTCCTTTCCGACCTCTCATTATCCAATTTGTCATCATTCTTCTTTGGGCACTCCTTGGAAAAATGACCTATTTGACCACAGAGATGACAGGGGTAATTTTCTTTACAGTAGGCCAAATACTTTCCACAAGGTTTGTTTCTGCAGTACTTCTTTATATGTCCCTTCTGTCCACATTTGAAACAAATGCTGGCAGCACTTCCGCCTTGCTTGTTTTGTTTTGTTTTTGATTGTCTTGTTGGCTTCTCTTCTTGTACTGCATCACGAGTGGGTTGTTGCTTGTAGTTTCACTTGATCCTTCGGCTGCTTTAATTCTGTCTCTTCTAATCTCAACTTCTCAATCAGTTTTGAGATGGTTCTCTGATTTCCAGTGACATTGTCCCATGATGTGCGAAAATGGTAGAGACGTTGTGGCAATATGGTGAGCATTCGAGTCATTGCCCACTGTTCATAGTCGTTTCCATCCTGTGCACTGAGATCTTGAGCTAGTTGTTTTATTTCATTTCAGTTTTCAATAGCTGATTTTGTGCTGTCAAACAGAAAGCCGAAAATTTTTCGCTGCAGACCTTCAATTTTATAATCTGACATTTTGCCATACAAATTCTCTA